TCATAATAACAAATAATAATAATAATAATAATAAAAAATAATACCTATTTCTTACATAGCACTTTGCATCAGTAGATCCCAATGCACTTTACAGTCTTTACTGGATTTATTCTCCCAGCACCCCGGTGAGGGAGGGCAGTGCTATCATCACAGATGGGGAACTGAGGCACAAAGAGGCTAAGTGAGTTGTCCAAGGTCACACAGAAAGTTTGTGGCGGAGCAGGGAATTGAACCTGGAATGCCTAGGCTTGTGTACTAACCACTGGACCATCCTTCCTCTCAAAAAAAGTGTCTGGTTTTTAGTTCTGGTGCCTTGCCAAATGCCTACTTGGGTAATTACATTTTGCAGCCCTAAATTCCCTTTCTAGGTTCTGTTGGATACAATTTTCTTTATTTGCTGTCTCAAACAGTTGTGAAGTATTGCTGTGCACTGTTAAACAGCTGCTGTGTCCCACTCCAGAGGTGTCTGTACTTCAGTGGTAGGAGCAGTACAGCGTGACTGTGGCAAAGTAATTTGACCTCTTTGTGCCTCAGTGTACCCAAGTATAACATTTGAAGTACTGCACTCAAAGAGGATGTTGCGAGGGCTAAGTACATTAATGTTTGTAAAGTGCTTTGAGATTCTCAGCAGAAGCTTCTCTAGAAAAAGAAAGTATATGATTTTGTGTATATTTGCTATTCTTAAAAAGAATCCTTCACTTTAGAAAATATGACTCATGAGAAGACGTAAACCACGTCCAAAAGAGCAGAGAAAGGTCTAAAAGTCTCTTTTTGTACGGATTAAATTTCAGGCCTATTGAAACAATAGAAGCTCCATGACAGTTTATTCTGTTTATATTGGTTCAGCACATTTGAGAATGGCAAGGTTAATGATAAGCTGTGATTCAGCCGGAGTATCTTCTTCTGACGAGCTAAAGTATCCTGTTCACCACGTTGTTTTTCAGTGGCTGGAGTGTTTTTGTAAATTAGTCTGTTAGGTCTGTTTATTTTGAGACAAAGATGCACATATGCTCCCTTACACATTCCTTTTAATATCGGCCTTGGTGGGTTCCCACTCATAATTCACACACTCTGCATTACCTCGCTGATCTGGCCTTATCAGAGTCCTTCCTACTGATAAAAAAACCGATTGCCCAGGCATCCTGGATTCTAAGCTGCAGGTATACAGGGATCAGAGACACAAAGATTAAACCTGTTCTTGGAAGTCTGTTCAGGCAAGGCTCCCATTGAAGTTAATGGGAGTTTTGTCTGAGTATACGTAAAAGTGGAATAGTTAATTAAATGAGGACAGAAGGTTTTGAGGATTGTCGGATACAGCTTTAAGGCCATGCACATTAGTGGTTTTTTTTTTTTCATAGGTTTGTTTTAAAGGCTAGAGACGCTTTGGCCTTGATAGTTTTTCTTCTCCAAGGGAAGAAATTCCTTGTAGTTACAGGGATAGGTGTTGGTGGACTCCCTTCTTGTCTTTTCACAACAGATTGGCTGCAATCATTCCCAGCTCTTTAAATCACTTCCCCTCTTCATGCTGGAGTGCAGATTCCCTCAGCGGTACCGGGGCTGAAACTGGATTCTGATGCTAAGATTCATTGTTGCCTCCTGTTCTTTATCCATTTAATAATCTCTTTCCTTTGTGCCCACGTGCTGCAGATTCTGAGTCTGCTGACTCCCCGAACCCCTCCTCAGCCCTCACCTCCCTGCAGTGGGTGGCAGAGATACTCCCCTCTAGCATCAAGATCCAAGGAAGGACCTTCAATCAGCAGCTGGAACGTCTGTTGACACCACCTGAGCGCTACATCATCTGCAAATCACTAGAAGGTTTCTTCCAGCATCGGTAATTTATTCATTGCTGTATTCCTTTAGCGGGTTGTGGTGGTGGTGGTGGTGTCCCTGATTACAATCTGCTTCTTGAATCAAAGCACTGAACCTTGGTATTGATGGCAGATGACAGAACAGGGAGCAATGGTCTCAAGTTGCAGTGGGGGAGGTCGAGGTTGGATATTAGGAAACACTATTTCACTAGGAGGGTGGTGAAGCACTGGAATGGGTTCCCTAGGGAGGTGGTGGAATCTCCATCCTTAGAGGTTTTTAAAGTCCCGCTTGACAAAGCCCTGGCTGGGATGATTTAGTTGGTGTTGATCCTGCTTTGAACAGGGGGTTCGACTAGATAATCTCCTGAGTTCTCTTCCAACCCTAATCTTCTATGATTCTATGATTGGAACAGACATTAGCTTTATTGACCATATCAGCATTGCCTAGATACCTGCACTGTACTGATTATTGTGCTTAAGGACTTGATCCTATAAGATGCTGAGCACCCTCAATGCCCACTGACTTCAATTAGAGTTGAAGTCACTCAGCACCTTGCAGGATCAAGCCCGAAACTCTTTGTTCTTTCCAATTATGCCTGGTCCCAGAGTAAACTTGGGATGGATTCTTTGAGTTGTTATAAGGCCTGGAAGGGATCTTCCCAGAACATTGTAAAGGATTCAACTGAAATTTCCTTACTTTCTTGGCTATGTTCCCCAACTATCCGCGAGGCCCTGTATCCCAGTGACTGTCACTCTGGATGAGGAGATGTGGCCATTGCGCCCCTACTGAGATATTCAGGGCTGCTGTTAAAGCAGCAGCTAGAAAAGGGTGCTGGGAGGCAACGTGAGGTGCAGTTTCCCTTCTCCCACAAGTGATGAGCACCCACTGGGGTACTGATCTGTATTCCATGCCTACCCTGTACATATCCATCAGAGAAACCATTAAGATAACAGGGTGGAAAGCCCCATCTGGCCAGATGCCCAGCCCACTGAGGGGTCAGGGAATCATCCAAACTTATTACCTTTTGAGATTCACCCATAATTGCCCCTTAATCCAACATAAAAATTACCTTGTTCTTTTCATGCAGCTAGGGGTCTCTGGCTGCCTGGACAGACCCTGAGCCAACAGCATGTCCTGTTCTTACAGTCAGCCCCTCTTGTTTATTTTCATTGTGTTTTATGCCTCTCTTATTGCTCCGTTCAGCATTTTGGCTAATGTGTTCCCTTGGCCTTAGCACAAGAATGCCTCCCGCTGGCAAACTTTTCTTCCTGTAATTGAACACATCCGCTCTGCCCTGCTGCAGGCCTTGAAACTGATCTTATGGAGGCATTGAGAACTTCAATAATGCACTTGTTTTCCACCCTTGACCCTTAATCTTTTTCATACAGTGCTGATAAAGCCATCATCAGGCCTGACATTTGGATATTAGGAGTGATAATGTCCCCGGATGGGCTGCTCAGGACCATCTTTCTTAGAGCCTTGGCATTCATTGGGAAAAGAGCCTGGCTCCCCTCTCCCTTCTACTGGATATTAATTACTATGGAAAGTTTACAGGTGTAAATGCCAGTGGCCAAATCCAGAGCTCCTACCCAGAGAAGTCAGGCAAACTCCTGCTGACTTCGCTGGGAGCTTTGCCTGAGTAAGGACTGAGTACAAAAGGAGTAGGGAGCTGACTGGCCCATTGATTTCACTGGGAGTTCTGAGGGAAGCTTTCAGAATTTAGCTCCATGGAAGATGAAGGACTGTCCATGGTGGTATAAGCTACTAAATACAAATGCACCGATAACAGCACTGTTCATAGCACTTCTCCTTCATTTCTTCTTCACCTTCAGGGCATGATGCTGCACACACTAAAATCAATGGGAGCATTACCGCCTACATCAGGCAGTGCAGGATCAGGTCCCTACTTGGCAGTGTCTCAGAGCTCAGAATTCTACACCTGATTAGATAGCTTTTAGCACCTTGGCACTGGCTGAATGAGCCCTCCTTAAACACAGATTGTGCTAATCCTGCCCCGATTAAGCAGCATTTGTTGCTTTGAATTCTCATGAGGCAAGAACAGTTCTGTATAGATTCCCCGGTCATGCACTCCCTGATGGAGCAGAGGATGTTGTATTCTGCATTTTGTTTCAGTGCCGGTCATTAACAAGATGCAGTTTTGCAGCCTATAGGCCTGATCCTACTTACATTATAGTTTTGCCCTTGTCTTCAGTGGCAGCAGGATTGTGCCCATAGATATTAAAAGTAATGAGTCTAAGGCTTTGTCTACATTGGCAACTGAATGACAAAACTTTTGTCATTTAGAGGTTTTAACCCCCTCCTCCCCTCCCGAAAGACAAAAGTTTTGTCGATGAAAAGAGCAGGTGCTCCTGTCCACAAAGCTACCGCTGCTCATTGGGGGTGAAAATATTTTGTCAGCAGGAGAGCTCTCTCCTGTTGTCAAACAGTGACTACACTGCATGCCTGTACCTGCACAGCCGTGTGGCTAAAAGGTGCCTAGTGTAGACAAAGCCTAACACTTCCTCTCTCAGGTGCTGCATTCACCTGAGGCTTGGTCCTTCGGATACACCAGCTCTGATACACCAGCTATACGGCACTGCAAGAGACAGGGAGCTAGACTTGGTGGACTAGTGGTTGGATCAGCTGTGGCACCTCCTATGTTCTCATTTGATTTTGTTTGTGTATAGTTTGCCTGAAACTATAGGTTGTCTGAAAATGAGGTACAGCAAAACAGAATTAGCTACTCAGTTACATGCTAAAACATTGGAAAGGTCAGAACTGTACGATATAACACTGCCTGTCACCGACTAACATGCCAGACGTTATAATCCCAGTGTCTCCGTCTCGGACAATGATTGATTGTATTGAGGACTGCAAATGGCAAGCCAGGAACATACATTGCTTCAATTCTCCGCATCCCTCGGGAGGCCAGTGCAGATGACTGGTAGCCAAGACTCCCAAGTTTTGTTTTCAACTCTGCCACCGATTTGCTGAATGATTCACTTCACCTCAAAGACTGGCCAGCCCATTAGTAAAATAGGGGTAGTATCTACCTCACAGGGGCATAGGGTGGGCTCATTACTTAATGCTGATAAACCCCCTGAAGATCCTTGAATGGAACATGTGCTTGAGATGAACAAAGTATGATTGTCTCAGGTGCTGTGCCAGAGATGTAGGTAGCCAGAATAATGAGCAATCTTGGCCTTTGCTCAAAGCTGGAAATGAACCTTCAAGCTTCTGTGAGGTTTAAGAAAAGTTTGGGTAACTTTGTGCTGCTTCCTCATCTTTGTGGTTTCCCACTAATATAAACAGCTTCCATTTCTCAGGTGACCACTGCACTGGGATGGACTAGTATCTTAATCCTTTTACCCAGGAATTCTTTGCTACCACATGCAAAATACAGGCTTGGCTCTTAAGAAATCAGTGACGTTACTCTTGATTTAAATCAGCATCACAGAAAGCAGAATCTGGCCCTACATAGAGAGTTCCCTTCCATTGATGCAAGGTTGCCCTTTTCAGGCTAAACAGTCAATCCATTTATCAGTCCTCTCTGAGGCTTAACAATCCTTTCCCAATTGGTGTAGAGATTTCTACACCATCTTTACATGGCACCATTGGGGAGACCCAGTCCAGCCTTCGCTGCAGGCTGCAGCTTAAGGGTCTTAACTATGCAGTGGCTGTCTTCTCCACTCAGAACCCCCGGCTTCACTTTGCCCTGGGCCACTTCCTACTTACTGCCTGACCAAATCTTACCTCTCCCTGGGGGTTCTCCTTCTTCTTCCACCTATCTCTAGGCCTCCTCCCAGGCCCTTTCCAGTAGTCTCTAGAAGCCTGCTTCCTTAGCTCCAAAGGGGATTAGCCTTAGGTCTTATCTCATCCTCACACTGACCAAAGAGCAGTACTTTTTATAGCCTGGCCATCACATGGTCCTTTAGTCACATGCTCTGGGACTGCTGCAGAACTACATTTCCCAGAATTCTTTTGCTTTAAAGAGTCAAGTACCAGTGCCAAATGGGCTGGCAGTGCCTGCTTATAAAGGGCCCAGTACAGTTACACAGACAAATAAGAGACAAGCCCCTGCCTAAGGAGCTAAAATCTAAGTTAGATATAGGACAGAAAGAGATGAAACAAAAAGGGAGTTTTCATGGGAAGGAATACTGCAGCAAAAGTAGGTGATCATTGTCTTGCCTTCTCTTTTCAACTGTGCAGGAACATCGATACTCTCATAGTGGATGTGTACCCCGTGCTGGACACACCAGTCAAGCAGGTCATTTGGCAGTTTATCTACCAGCTATTGACATACGAAGAGCAGGAGCACTGCCAGCAAAAGATTGCCAGGTTCCTTGGTTACAAGTCAGTGGCAGGTGAGAGGAAAGCTCCTGTACTCTGACATGTGCACGCTGTGTCTCATGACTTCCCTGGGGATTGGGTCTTGTTGCATGTTATCACATTGGCAAGAGCAGCCTAAGATTACTGGAGGTTAGGCTGAATATCTTGTGTTGTGCTAGGGCTCAAAAAAAGTGGTGAATTCTCATAGGAAAGGGTGGCTTGCCAGCCTTTCTTGAATGGGACAGAGCTCCGGGGCCTGATTCTCCCCTGCCTTGCACTTTGTATAGTCACTCACACCTGTGAAGACTGGGTGTAAAATTCTACCTGATCAGAATGGCAGTGTTGTACATCCACTTTGCACAGATGTAAATGACTATCCAGGGTACAGGACAGTGCAGAATCAGGACTCTCTGTTTCTAGCCCTGATCATTCATGAGATATTGATCTTTAAACCTGGGATTGGTCCAGGACTGAAGGCTGCTCTTCCTGCACCTTGGACCAGTATAATTTTGGGAGGAAACTCCACATTTTGGGGGAAAGAAAGAAAAATATTTTTGTGGTAGGTTGTCTTAAAAATGCATCTGAGACAGTCGAAGAGCTGCCTAATGGATGCAATTTCTCCCCTGATGTCACCAACATGTGGCATAAATAAATGTCTACAATTAGGGTTCAGTTAAAATTAAGGCCCATCAAAGATCACACAAAGAAAGTGAGAAACATGCTTGATTCCAGCCTCTGCCTAGGAGGTTTTGTTCTATCACAGAGATTTAGGGTGGCATTAGCAAATCACATTGCATCCTGCAGTGAAGGAGTCTGCACCTACCTTTTCTTACTTGTCACTATCTGTTGTTGCTGTGGCAACATACAAACCAACTGTGGTTTGCTGTGGATTATGTGCTTCACAATCAGACAGCAAAAAGGCAGAGGGTAAATTTAGAATGAAAGGTTTTAATCTTTGTATCTAGATTTGTTAATTACTTTTAAATTCCTGGGTTTTAAACCATTTACATTTTGCTGATAAGTTTATTTTAAACATGGCTAAAACTGCAGGAAAGAGTTTTCAATTTGAAGAAGGGGAGGACTTGTTTAGACACACTTTTTTTTACACAATCTGTTTACAAAGGAAAAGTCATTTGTGTAGGGGCAACCAGCTCTTGCAGTGTAGGCACAAATGTTCTGAATTCAGCATGCAAAAATGCTTGTGTATTTGCTCACCTAATTTGCACTTACAATTAACATGACTGTGTTTGTGCATTCAGAATAAGTGGGCAAACGTTCATATTTTTACATGAACGTTCCAAGCAGCTGGGCCCTGATATTCAAAATGAAAACTTTACATGATATTATTATTAACATCTGAATCATGTCAGGAGACAGATTTGAAGTCTTGATTTCAGTTGCCTGTTTTAATTTATTTTAACACTGGTAGAGAGTGGGTCATCCTTTCCTATTCTATGAGTGCAGTTTTCAAACATAGGCATTTAAGTTGCACAAGTAAAATGTGCTACAAACATGTAATTGTGCCCGCTGTACATGTATGTACTCTTTTTCATGCACATATATGTATTTTACAGGTGATGCTATTCTAAGGTTAGCCCTTTCCCCCGTGTATATGGTTAGATTAGATATGTATCTACTTCAGGTCATTTGATGTGATCTTGGGCTTCTGAGTGGATTAATAATACTGTTTGGCACATACACATCACTTTTCATCTTCAAAGCACTTTACAGATAGTAATTTAAGAATAACCTACAAGGAGTTGGCGTTACTGGTCCTATTCTACAGATGAGGGAGGTGAAGCACAGGGTGTGGAAGTGACTTACCCAAGGCCACATAGTTTCAGAGGCAGGATTAAAACCAGGAGTTCCTGGTATTCAGACTTTACAATTAGGAAGTGATGGATGTGCTCCCTTCCATAAAAGGTCAGTCTGTGCTCATGTGACTTTCCATGTACTCTGGTACAGTGTGTGCATACCCATGTTTGGGAACATGAAGGCCAGACCTCCCCAGATTTGGGGCAGCTCTTCATTTGATCTGGTTCCAAACCAAATGGTCGTCTCCACTGTGGTAATGTTTCATGGATGTCTGTCTGAGTGCCTACCTGCCAGGCACTGAACACCATAGCCTCTAGGTTCTGATGTAATGCTAAGATTATTTTACCCAACACCAGCATCAACCATGTGGTTTTGGAGAATTCTTCTTGCAGCTTGCATTGCAGCACTGCAGTACAGACTGCTTTGCATGCTAGGAGCCCATTCCTAGAGGGCGGAGACTGTTTCCCTCTGGAGTCATTCCTGATGAGCTATATGCTGGGATCCTGTCCCCATGTGGGGGGTGGGATTTCAGGCTCACAGAACTTTGTGGTCAAGGCCAGCTGCAAACCTGAATGTCCCTGGGGTTGTTCCTCTGTGATGAATAGGAAGATGGTAGGTGAGGAGCACTGGGAGCCAGTGCATCTTGCAAAGACACATGGTAACTTATCAAGTCTCTTTGCAGCTGCAGCAGAGCCAGAGGCAGAGGAACGGCCCCGGACTTCGGTTCGAGGGGCCTCAGGATGTCGGGGAAGCATTCGAACGCGAGGCCTTGAGGAAGGTGGGACAGGAGGTAGGTCATTTATTGCTCTATGAAGATTCCCTTTGGAGAGCTCCTGTGGCTGTTTCCCATTTATCCTGGGCCCAGCGGGCCTGGTTGTTAAGATGCAGACCCAAGAGTCAGGATTTCTAGCTGTTGTTCTGGCCCAGTCCTTGATTTGACACTGGTCTAAATAGCAGCACTAGGTACAAGCTAGCAGAGAGTCAGGCTCACAGCCCTTGGCAGCAAATCCACTTTTGTTCCGACAAGGAACAAACTGTTTAACATCAGAAAGTCCTAATGCGAAAGCTGCCTGGGCTGAGCCTGTACGTTATTTATTCAGGATCCCTAACGTTGTTTAGAGGGACAGCCAGGGAGAATTACAGTGGGCTGCCAGGCCAGTGGATTAGCAATAATCTAAACCATTCTGCACATTCCGCCCCCGGGGCTCTTCCAGGGATAAGTCTTGCTGCAGCATTAAGGGATGAGGCTCACTTCTGTCTGTCTGGATCCATAGTTCTTTCTAGATCTCATCATTGCTTGTCCAGATTTCCCCAGGTTCACACCTAAAATGGTGTTTGGAAAGCCCCCAGGACCACAAACGCTGGTTCTGAAGGGGATCCTGGCTCGTTAACCCGTCCAGCTGCTCTCAGTGCGCAAACTGCACTGAGGGATAGATATAGCCTTCCTTCTGTCCTCCACAAACACCTCATTCTCCCTCCCACTGGTAAGCCACAGTCTTCTAACCTTCCTGCAGGGCCTCTTCCAACATCCTGAAACCCCTGCAGCTCTCCCCAGGAGAGCATTACACTGCTGCTGGTTCCATCCTCCCACCTCAGTTCTCTGCCAGATCCCTCTTGATAGTTTTCAGAGTAGCAGCCGTGTTAGTCTGTATCCGCAAAAAGAAGAACAGGAGTACTTGTGGCACCTTAGAGACTAACAAATTTATTATAATAAATAAATAAATTTGTTAGTCTCTAAGGTGCC